AACCCTAACCCTAACCCTAACCCTAACCCAACCCTAACCCTAACCCTAACCCCTAACCCTAACCCTAACCCTCATCGTCTTCAGTGGCCTGGAGCTCGCCCACAGCTTCGAGCACTTCTACCGGTGAGGGGTGTCGTGTCTCCGCGGGACCAGAGGGCCTGGTGTGGCGTGGTGGGGAGATGCAGGTGGTGCTGAGGCCGTGCCTGAGCCTGGCCTGGTGTGGCACTGGTGCTCCTGCCCTGCTTTTCCTGGCTCTTGTGCGTGGAGGGAAAGGCTGTGAGGGCTCTGCCGTCTGCGGAGGCACATTCCTGCTGGTGACAGGGAGGGGAGGGAGGCAGGTGCTGCCAGGCCCTTGTGCCTTGGGGTGAGGGCAGGGCCGGGGCCCTCTCTGTCTCCTGGCAGGGGCTCGGGACGGTCCCTGACCTGATGCTGGTGGCTGTGGCAGGCACTACCTGGGGGACCGGCTGCTGGCACAAGGGCCATCTTGGCTGGAAGGAGCCATCGTGGAGCAGATCGGGCTGTGCTTCCCCAGCCGCTTCCCCCAAGAGATGCTGAGCAACTTGGCTGAGTCAGAGGAGCTGCAGCAGCAGTTTCACCTCTTCCAGCTGCAGGAGCAGGACAAGCGGCTGCTCGAGCTGGACACGGGCCTGGATGAGGTGAGTGTGTTGCTGGGGTGGAGGGCCTGGGGGCCGTTCCTCATTCCTCACAGGGATCCTGGGGCCTGTCCTGAGGTGCCCTCGTGTCCGTGCGTGCAGGCACCGGGGCCGGCCCCGGTAGCGGATGTGCCGGAGGTGAAGGTGCTGGCCCTGTCCCCGCGCTGCTGGCCCATCTCCCCGTTCTGCTACATGGATGAACCTGGCAGGTTTTTCTCAGCCGCCCTGAGCTCCCCCCTGGACGAGTTTGCCACCTTCTGCAGGCAGAGTGAGTGTGGGGTCTGGCTGGGGCCAGGCTCTGCAGCAGCAGTTCACCATCGTGGAGCAGCTCTGGCTGTGCTTCCCCAGCCGCTTCCCCCAAGAGATGCTGAGCAACTTGGCTGAGTCAGAGGAGCTGCAGCAGCAGTTTCACCTCTTCCAGCTGCAGGAGCAGGACAAGCGGCTGCTCGAGCTGGACACGGGCCTGGATGAGGTGAGTGTGTTGCTGGGGTGGAGGGCCTGGGGGCCGTTCCTCATTCCTCACAGGGATCCTGGGGCCTGTCCTGAGGTGCCCTCGTGTCCGTGCGTGCAGGCACCGGGGCCGGCCCCGGTAGCGGATGTGCCGGAGGTGAAGGTGCTGGCCCTGTCCCCGCGCTGCTGGCCCATCTCCCCGTTCTGCTACATGGATGAACCTGGCAGGTTTTTCTCAGCCGCCCTGAGCTCCCCCCTGGACGAGTTTGCTGCCTTCTGCAGGCAGAGTGAGTGTGGGGTCTGGCTGGGGCCAGGCTCTGCAGCAGCAGCTCAGCAGAGGGCTGTGCTGGGTGTGCTGGCAGTGCCCGGCAGGGCTGGCCCCAGCCCTGGTGCTGATGCTGTCTCTGCAGGCCAGAGCCAGCTGGGCTGGGCGTGCAGGAAGCCCCCGCGGCTGCAGTGGACGTGGCTGGGCCGTGCTGAGCTGCAGTTTGGAGACTGCGTCCTCCACGTGTCCACGCTGCAGATGTACATCCTGCTGTGCTTCAACAGCGCCGAGGTGGGTGCCAGGGCTGTGGTGGGGTGAGGGGGGCAGCGTTCTGTGCTGGAAACTCTCAGGGTGTGGTGGGGTGAGGGGGGCAGCATTCTGTGCTAGAACCTTACAGGGCCTCCTGGTGGGAACTCTAGCGGTGTTGGGGCACAGGATCCGCCTTGTTTGGCCGGGCCTGTGGGTCTTGGCTGGCTGTTCCCTTCCCATGGCCCCTTGCAGGAGGTGGCTGTGGAGTCCTTGCTGCAGGCTACGGGGCTCCCTGCTGACCTGGTGCACCATGCACTGACACCACTGACCCAGGGTGAGGGTGTCCTGGTGCAGAGCTGCGTGCTGGGAGGTGAGTGTGGGGCTGAGGCTTGCCTGGGGAGATGCTGGTCCAAGCCCCAGGTGGGTGCTGGGGCAGAGGTGCCTGAGCTTGTAGGGGAAGCGAGGGGGTGGGGTGAGTGAGTTTGTTGGTGCTTGGGGAGCAGGTCAGTGTGTCAAGTTGGGACCTGAGGCTGCGTGTCAGACTGGGGGTGGTGTGTGGGGCTGGCGCCTGGGGAGGTGTATGGGGCTTGGCTGACCCTGGGCTGGCTGCTAGCTCCAGGTGTGCTACGGCTGAACCAGGCAGCCCTGGCCTGTGCCTCTGGCCACCTGAGGCTGCTGCCCCAGCAGAGGTAACTGCAGGCCGGGGAGGCTGAGGTCAGCACCCTGGAAAGGAAGAGGAGCATTCTCTACTGCCTCATCACCCGCATCCTCAAGGTGGAGAAGCAGCTCCACATCGACAACCTGGTGTTTAGGGTATGGAGGGTTTGAAGGGCTGAGGGGGGGCTGCCTGAGTGCTACACCACAGTGCAACGTGGGGCTCCTTTGCTGCTGTAGGTGATTGATGCCTGTCAGAAGGGTGAGTCGGGGCCAGGACTGCAGTTTCTGAGCTTCTGCTGCCACCGT